GTTATCACACTGTTTTCTATCTGTTTACATCTTTTGTTGCCCCAGAAAGGTAAGTAAAATTGGCGAAGGTGCCTGCCTTGTTGTTGGATGTCCACAGCTAGCTCAGTGCCTGACAGGCAGATGGTGCTAAGTAAATGCTTGTGGACTCATAGGGAAATGGTCAATGGGGCCACACACAACATAGGGGGGGCTCGCTGAAGGATGACCCATAAAACAGGAGAAAGAGTAGGAGGTAACTGAATGAGTCAGCCAAGGGTGTTTGGGCTTACACTTCAAGAAAAATGCTAGGAGGGCTTCAGTTTGTACAGAACCTCCCCTTGAAGACTAAATTATTTTTTTCTGTAAATAATTTGCAAAAGTTATTAAAAAAGAAAACAGGTTTGCAAAGAATCTACTTTGTGGTTCTAACACAGAAGTTGCCAATACCACTAAAGATTTCCAGAGTTCACGGTACTTAGTAAAAAAAAAAACAAAAAAAACAGGCCAACAGTAATCACTACAAAAGTTCAGTGTAAATAAAATAGCCATGAGGGGTCATCTGGGATTTGTCTACATTTTACAAGAAGGATGAAGAAAGAAGAACAACAAAGTCCCCCTGGGAGGGGCGGACCGTGCTTCTTTGAAATGAATTAGTTGAAAGCAAGTCTCTCTTGGGAGTCTAAAGTTCTATACGTGTGATTAACTCCTTCGAGGCATCTTTGAAATCCAAATGTGCTATCACAAATATAACAGTATATCATCATCTCTGCTTGCAGTAGAGAGAGAGAAAAAAGCTACCGTCTCAGAAGAAGTAAATACAATCTATATTAACCTAAGACCTCACTTTTAGGGCCCCGTCATTCATGATCCCATATCCCATTTCCGCAGCCAGATTGGCTCTACACCTCTGCCTTCAATCTCTGTAGGTTGCTCGGTAGTTTAGGGACCCAGCGACTAAATGAATGGCTTTGTGGTTTCGAAGATGACTGAACTTTAATGAACTGAAAGAGAGGCAGAGTGGAGGTCAGGAAAGACCAAGGCTGGAGGATTTTGTCCTAGCTTACAGGTCCTCCAACCATCCAGAGAAGAGAAGACGGCTGCAAAGATGCTGACAGAGCATGAAAAGAAACCCACACTTCCTCCCTTCACAATTGCTTCGAGCATCCCGCCCTCTTCCAGTTTATGAGGGCCTTCATCCAGTCCTTTCGACTGCACACGTGTCTCCTGCATCCAGTAACCAGCATCAGAAGACCAAAGCTTCCCCATCTATCCTCTGCAGATAAGGACGTACCATGTTTGCAGGAGAGAATTTCAAGCATGCTAAAGAATCCATTTCTGCGTAACTGACTTTCCCCAAGGAAAGAAGAAAAACACTGTCACATGGGATATATACAGTTAATAAAAACAACAGGAGAACTGCATGAAATTGTAGATATTTAAATGATAATCCTATTTGAACTGGTATTAAAGAAAGTGTGGTTCAGTGGGAGTCAGGCAGACTTGCTTCCAGCCCTCTGATCTTTGTAAAGTCATTCAAAATCCCTGGGCCTTTGTTTTCCTAATGGCAGAGTTGGGCCAGACGTGGAGTATCTGAGAGGCCCAGTGAGCAGCCAGGGCTCCATCATCTTCCCCATTCACTAAGACAGTTCATCTCTTTAATATATTGAAGTTCAGAGGAACAAAAACAAAAAGCAAGACGATTTTAAAGGTCCCTGATAACTCTTTCATTCTTAGGACCAAAAGCTAAAAAAGCTTAAGAGTTACCATCTTAATTATATACCTATGATAGAACTAGGAAAAGGTTAAAACTACCTATAATCTCTGGCCCTCTCCTCTTACCTCCCTTTTTTAATACCTAGGAATGCGCTGGCTAAAATATTTCCAAAGATTTCTGCGCAACTCCAGGGGGCACCATTCATATCAAAGACAACGTCAGTGGTGTTCCCTGGAGTGGGGCACTCAGTGGTCCTGAGGAGGATGCTTTTAGAGTGGAGAGAGCCGATGCTGGAATCTCATCTCTGCCATTTACTGGCTATATGACCCTTGGCAAGCTATTTAATCATCTCTCTGATCCTGTTTCCTTCTTTGTAAGATGGAGATCATAAATTGTATTTCCAAAGGCTGCTGTAAAAACTAAATGAGATAATATCTGCAATGAACCTGGCACAGGACACGATACCAACATCAACGTTAGTTCTCTAAAATCACAGAACCTATCACATCTCACAGCAGAGAAAACAGTTGTGTCTACGACTTGTGGCCCATACTATAGGGATAGATCAAAAGACATTGTGAAATTTGCAACAGATCTCATCTGCTGAAGATGGGGTAGGTGCCCCCCAAAATTAAAGGGGTCACTCAAGAATTACACAATTTTTAAGTCTCTGAATTGTAATAACTGGTAGAAAGGAAGACTAATCAGCATGCTAATTAACTAGGATGTGTTGATAAATGGTTATCAAGGACAAGCAAGGGTTTAAAATGACAGGCTGCTCCCACTAAGGACATATGTGCTGCCAACAAATTACATTGTGTTTAATTCAAACATTTTTACCTTACTTAGGAATCAGGACCAGTCAATACTCAACTGCACTAAAGCTTTTGATTATTAAATTAAGAAGTTATTAACCTCTACCATAAAGCTATAACTTGAGAATTACAGATTCTCAAAATGATAGAACCGAAGGGGATTTTACATGTCATCTAGTCTAACCTCCACATGTTATACCAGGGTAAACTGAGGTCCAGGGAAAACAAGAGACACCAACGGTCACAAAGGCAGAGCCAATTCTGGCACTTGGTCTCACTAACTTATTCTTTTTCTTACTAGAGGAAATGAATCTGTAGCTTTACCCAATACACACACCGACAACTTAACATTGGCTATATGGATTCCTGCCTCAGCTCTGCATAATTTGGGGTTCGCAGGGCACTGGAAGACAGCTGAAGCACTGGGTCAGTGACTGACAGAAGCGGCTGGGTGGGACTGTGTGGGGAGGTCTGAGGATACTCAAGAAGGGAATGAAGAGCCTATAGAAAGGCTGTTAGGGATCTACCAGTCTGGGATTCGGGTGGTGGGAACTAGGGTCCAGTAAGCGGCCAACTACAGAATGATTCTCCACATCCAGGATGTAGCAGCATGACTAGCACATAGTAGGTACGTAGCACTTACTTGGTGTACGATTGGATGATGAACCAAGAGTGGATGAGCGAATGAAAGGACCTGTTCTGAGAGAAGAAATGAGAGCTTCACAGGCAACAGAGAAGAGGGACTGCCTTGCTTAGTCCCCTAGGAGAAGAGGAAGAGAAGAGCGACCACAGCCCCCCTAACCTCAGCAGGAAAGAGGTGGCTTGTTTCCCTTGCAAGGACAGTGGAGGGAGTCTGAGGCCCTCTTGCCTCTGCCTCACATTTCCATTCTGAGGAAATACAGTGGTTCCCACGGCACTGCTTCCACTTCAGGCCACTCTGCTCTCAGGATGGAACATAGAGAAGTGGAATGCTTGAGGGCAGTCTATCCCCAACGACATCACAAGTTTTAAACCCATAATGTCACATTATTTTTACAGCACACTCTGCTTAAGTGCTGGCCACGCAAGCTACTGACCATGCTGACACTGATGGGAAAATGTTTTACAGGAGGAACTTAAGGTCAAGAAACAAATCTGATTCTAGGACAGCAGAGAAAATTGTACCTAATGAAGAACGAGGGAAAGCTGGGATTTCCTGGCCGATTTCCCATTCACAGAAAACACAGCCACCTGGGGTCCTAAGCGTGGAGTGCTCTGACCTTCTGCCAAGTCTGTTAAGGCTGGACTTTCAAGGTAGGATTCATTTGAACAGCACTGGTGGCACAGACGTGATGGAAAGCTAGATCTCATTATATTTTCTAAACAGCAAGAGGTTAGCATTTGATATTCTGTTTCCTTGCAACATTTATGTCCAATAGTTTTCACTTTTGTACCAAAGGATGTGGCTAATGCACCACTCATCACTTCTTATATTTTTCTAGGACTAAATAGAGGAACTATAATAAAAGACTCTGCATCAATGCTTAAGAAAGACCTTTCAAGGTTCTTAAGATGTAAGAAACTTCCCATTTAAGAGGAACACTAACGCTTGAGTGGAGAACAACGAAGCATTGGACAGAGTCTTCTCCATACAATATCCAGCAGACTAATGGCAAAATTATAGCAGTCACAGAATAATGGATTCTGTTCCATGTTCATGTATATATCATGAAAGATATATACAGGCAAGGAGAAGATGTCATGTTTCTAATGTGACCTTCATTTGACATTTGATTAAGACAAAGTTGGTGCAGTTTTAAAAAATTCTTTCAAAACCAACAGAACAGATCAGAGAAAAGACCAGTGATATAAACACTCTTCCTCAACTCACAGAAAGATGGGAAAGGCTTTTATATTTTTAGCATAGTTTCAATTCCCTTAAAAGAAATGTGTGAAGCACCCTCTAAATGTTTCTCCTTAAGTTGCCAACGCTGGAACTCATCCTTCTGGCTGGCTTACAGCGCTCGTCCTGACTTGGCTCTGGAGGCCATTCAAGGAATAAACGTGAGACTAATTGCTGTTTGAAAGAAAGGGACTACATCTATAAGAATTTTCATATTAATATTTGTAAAATATCTTGAGAAATAGTAAGAAAAAGCAATCCAGAAAACAGTGTTCTGAAAGAAATCATAGAAATGGTGGTAAAGAAACCAAACGGAAAGGTTTTTCTAATCAAGGGACAGGTTTGTTCTCATAGTACAAACCATCTTTGCTAAGTGGCTCATTCTTCTAAAAAGACCAGCTTTTGGATGAGAGTGAAAATGTGTTTAGATTTAGCACTGTGTCTAGATTTAGCATACAGTGAACTCTCTGGAATGGTTTGCATGCTGTCTAACTCGGAGCATCTTGAGTCTTTTTTTTGGCTTTAATTATGGTGCTGAATGCCTAACTTTTTTATATATAAGCGAGTGTATGGAAACAGGAGGACTAAAGCCACACAAATGCCCACTCACCTCCCATGATTTTCGACTGGCAGTTAATGAATTCGGGCTTCCTGTCCGTGAGGTACCTCTGGCAGGTGTGGTGGAGGATCTGGAAGAAGGTGCATTTTTCTGAGGCTGTGCTGGCTACCCACTGGTCAAAAGCATTTTCAAACAACAAATCAAACTCTGCGGAATCCTAGAAAAGACAGTGAAATAACTACTGATTTCAATCCATAAAAACTGCCGCTTCCAGCCAACCCGCAACAGAAGACTCATAAAGGCTAAAACATCTTTCCAAAACTTTGGTCTTAGCCATAAGGCTCATCTTTTTTAGCACCCAAGTGCATGGGGAGTACACCTTCCTCTGTTTATCAAGCAAACTCCAAATCTTATAGTATTTACAGATGTCGCTAGGAAGCTGGTGTCACAGAAGTCCCTACAGCCTACTACATGTGGACTTGTGTCAGAATTCAGACAACGTATTGCCTTTCCAGTTATTTGGAAAAAGATTCCTTCAGGCCTCAGCACTGAACCATATTATTCTTGCCCCTAACCTTTGGTAGGAAAAGATTCCCCCTTATTATCTTAGCATCGTTACAATTTACATTTTATCTTTCCTCATTATTGATGTTTCGTACAGTGAGTGTGTGTGAGCAAAAGAGAATGTGCTTTGAATAAATAATGCTACCATAAATGTTCTCACATTAAACCCATTAGAATCCTAATATATAATTTTTAATGTGCCATTCATTTATGATTATTATCTTCTTTTTGGTAAATAAATCTCCTCATTGGCGGCATTAGGAGATAAACAAAGCTTTGATGAACATGGTGTATCATATTGATGACCATGGATGTGATCTCTGAACTCTGTTCTTTGTACTTTGCTGATACACTTATTACGGGGGAGGCGGGGGGTAGCATTTCCTCAATACGCATCCCCTTAGGTTCCTGCATCAAACATGATGAAAAGATTTATAATTCCCCATAGGAAGGACGGAAGGACACAGAAATCACCTTAGTCACATAACTGAAATAGAGAAACAGCTTTGTTAAAAATGACACAGAGAACCACCACCACCTCCAAGGTCAATGAGAAAGACATCGTGTAAAGAGAACGCTGCGTTCAACACTGGGCAGGTCACTTACCCGATTAGGATCGATGCCGTTAACCTGGCGGAGCTGCTCAAGCATCCACTGTGATCTCCGCACGAACGACGTGGAGCCTTCAAACTGTTTGACCTTCGTGATGGACGCCTGTGTGGGTTTCTTGTTTGTCACTGTCAAGAAAAGACCACACAGATTAGTGGGTGTGCAGGTGGGTTTGTTTCCCTGTTCAGTGGTGTTTCTCTCTTACACCTATGTGTATATGCACAATGAGAGAGAGAGAGAGAAGAAAAAGAAAATGTATGTATACAGAGAGAGAATGAATATGTATGCCTTCGATGAGGGGTGAATCTAAAAGAAAAATATAATCCCCATCTCAAGTCGTTACAATCTAATTATAATTGTGAGGGCTGCTTCATTTATATCTTCGTCCATTCAGACTGAACGCAACTTCAGTGAATGACCCTAAGCACCTTTAATGGAGGCTACAAGTGCACAGTGACCCACTGCAGGGCAAGAAATACACAGCTGACAGGCATCAGGTAGGGTCCTCGGGAAAGGCTGGATTTTAAAGGAAGTGGAGGTTACTGGCTCCCCTCGGGAAGTGCAATGCATATTTCTAATTTCACAGTCAAGCATAAATAGTTCAGGCTTCAGTGATAAGGAGTAATACCTCATTCAAAGAAAACAGAACCATTTGGCTTTAAATACAGTCCAGTTTGTATGTAGTTTGTGTCTGATTATGACTGTATCTGGCATTCTGGGTGCCCTGCCCACCATGAATTCCTGAGGTCACCACACCTGCAGGACCAGGACAGCTCTTCCTCCGGGCCTTAGCTCTTCCTTCACTCGCTTCCACACTGAGGATGAGCAAGGTCACCTCTCAGACAGAGGTCAAGCACCAGCCACCATGAGGGAGTCACTCTGGATGTTTCTAGTCTGCTCACTTTGTGACTTAGAGCCTCAAGCGTAGGGAGGAATTAAATGTTTTCAAAGGGCTTTCCTAAAAGCTCCTCCTGAGCCCAGGCTGTAGGAATTGTAAGATTTAATAGAAACAATGCAATTTAAGGGACTAGCAAAGGTGGAAAGAACTACTTTTAATGAATGCAATCCTAATAAGACTGGGCATCAGTGGCACATTCTTTCTTTGTTTCAAATAACCCCACAGATCCCACATTTTCATGTAATTATGCAGATGCTCAACAGATGGCAAGAGGAATCCTGGAGAGATGAAGGACAGAGAGGCACTACTGCAATCATGGTGGCGGTAAGAAGAGTCTCCTTTGTGAAGACCAGAGTCCCCTGAAGTTTCACTGTCTGGGGTCCTTAACGCAGGAAAGCGGGACCGAGAGGAAAGGACACGTGGGGACCCTGCCTTTAGGTCTGTAACAACCCTATGGTTCCAGGACTGAAGACTGTTTTTTATGATCTCAGGACAATCTTCTCTCTTTGTTCCTAACCAGAAGAAATTTTTTTTTTAATTTCAAAGAATACTTAGGTTTATTACCCATTATTTCAGTTATATTTGGCTAAAAGCTTCTGAACATTTCGCACCAATTAAACTTACTTTCACAGTTAAAAAGTCATCCTCTCCTTAGCACCCATGATCAGAGGAAAGTTCACAGTCTTCTATTCACAAACAGCCTACAGCTCTGCGCATAAGCCTGTTAAGTCTCATTAGGAATAACCACCCCCCTAACCAAATTCAGGCAATCTTTCCAGTCTGCCAAGGCTCCATCTATCCATTTAATTGCATTCATTTGTTTTGTGTGTCTCCTATGACACAAAAGGAAGACCTAATAGGTTTCTCAGATAGTCATGCCCAGCTCTCATGTTTTAATATTAAAGGAAACAACATACCTGGAATACATACAAGTCCTAAATGTGCTTAAAAGATTAAAGAACGCTTTTCAATAACAGGAAAACATGGGTTCCTGTATTACACACACACCCCTAAACACACAAAGAGGATTTCCTCCTTTGTTTATGTAAATCACTCGACATTTAGGCATGCTGGGCAACATGAAGGTTTTCCTTCTAACTTTAAAGTTGTTGTGAACTCCTATTTTTACTTCGGATCCATTTATTTCCAAGCAGTTTACAGTGTTATAAAAACTCAAACACAATGCAGGATCGCTGTAATTTTGGGCATGTTTAGGAATGACATTTTAGAAGGCAAGTTTCACTGAAAGTTTGTCACTGAAACGAGAAGGGCAGGACCCCCACCCACAGGACGAATGCCCCAGGGAATTGCTCCACAGTGACCACACTGCAGAGCGGTCGTTGTACTGGAGGCAGTTAGAACTCCATCTGTTTCTGCCTTTTTTCCCCCATTAATTTATTCCTCGCCCAGTTCTTGGAATCTGGGTAGTTTTCCTGGGCACTGAGCCCGGTTTGGTTTAATTTTTGTTTATTGTTATTATCTCCAACATCCCAGTTTCTATTTTGAAGCAGGTGCCTAAAAAATTTATTATTATATACACACTATATAGAGTTAAATAAAGACTTTCCCCTTCTGAAATCAAAACACGCACAAACCATTGCCTGACTTTCTGAGTTCTGTGCTTGAAGGAGCCATGTTTTAACCCCTTCCTTGTTTTGGTGTTTTCGGGGTCCACAGTTGATAAAAAAAAATCAAATTCTACAAGTCTAGTGAAAAACAGTAATTTACCTTCTCCTTCCAAAGGAAAGCTAATTGATAGCAAACCCCAGAAAATGCAACAGGTAATACTGAAGACAACTCAGAATCAGCCCTTCCCCCTGGTTCTCTACTCCAACCCCCTATCAGGGACACTGGGAGTTTTGCGACAAATACACCAAACCTTGTGAACCAGAATCTCTCTGGGTGTGACCCTGGCATCCATATTTTAAATCTCCCCAGGTGATTCTGAGGCTCACTGACTCCTGAGACCACTGAACTTGTGTATTTACTCATTTTACATATAGTTATGGAACATTTCTTAGATGGAAGACACAGAAGGAAGTTTTGTGGGCAATTCAAAGATTGAACAAGATGTGGTTCTGAATCAAGACCTTGGTGGGGGGGGGGGGGCATAAAAATGATGCAAAACAGTGTTAAGGCCTAATAGGACAAATGACATAGGACTCATCTGAGGTGTTGGGTGGGGGACCAAGGCAGAATTGGGGAAAGTCAGGGAGGTTCTTGAAGCAGCCATGTTCCAGGTAGTACACCATTAGTCCTCACCTTGACTTCTACGATTTCCCCTAAACTGGCTTTTGTGACCAACTTGGCTATTCAAACTTAAATATAGAAGAGTGAACCTCTTTTAAAAACTCCTCAATGGCACCCCAAAGCCTTGAGAATAACACCCAAGCCCCACACCATGACCCGCAGAGCCCTAGACGTTCTGGTCCCTGAGTACCTCTCTTCTCTCCTTCCACTCACCTCACCTCCCTTTGGTCCACCAGGCTTCAGCCATCTTTTGCTCCTGGGAACAGCAACGTCTTTCTACCCTTTGCAAATGCTGTTCTCTTCACAGAAATACTCCCGCTCCACCCTTTTTTTATGGTTTTATGGTTGTCGCATGTTCACTATACAGATTTCGGCGTACATGTCAACTTTATAGAAAAAAACTTCTCTTGATCATTTTATCCAAGTAGGTTCCCTCCCCATGTTCTTTCTTTCACTGAACTCTGTACATTGCAAACCTGGATGAAATATTCAACATTTGCTTCTCTGACATATTTGTGAAGAAGAAAAACCAGATTGCTATTATGTCCGTCTAGTCCTAAAACACGAAGATATGGATAGCCCCACACACAGATCTTCTAAGGTATCCCCTACCAGCCTGTGATGTAGGAGCCTACACATTGACATAATGACAAATGACATTTTCCATAGCTTTTAAATTTTTTTAAAATCTTTTTTATAGAGCTTCTGTTTTTCTCTTGCACTTGACAATACGTCTGTGATAGAGGCAGGGCTGTTGCTACTATCCTCCATTATATTTATAGACAAGGAAACTGAGGCACAGGAAGAATTGTCTTGCCAAAGGAATACTGTTAATGAATGAAAATCTGTAACTTGCACAATGAGCATAGGGCCCACTGCTCTTTCCACTGTAGCTTTTTGCTGCAATGTCAAATGCCACATTTTATTGTGTGTGGGATACTCATTAAATAAGGATTAATGGAATCATTTTGTTCTAAAAATGCTACTACCGTTGTGATTTTGACAACATCTTGAACTGTTTTTTCCCTTATTTACTTAAATAAGTTAATAAAAAATACATATTAAAGCCATAAATAGATACACAGCTCTGCCCACATTAAATAGAAAACTATGTAAAAAATACAGTTAAGACATAAATGCTATAATTTCAAATTAAAGCGTTGTCCGTGGAGGGCTGGGATCTGAGGTCTACTCTGGTAAAACGGTGATTGGCAAGTGTAGACTGGTGTTAAAAACTTCCATAACCCAGATATTCCCCTAGGTGTAATCACAAAGCTTAATTGGAAGTGGTTTCTCTAAGATCGCTACGTCATCCGCACCGGGACTCACTGGGTAAGGCAAGTTCTCGAGTTACCCAAGCCTAATGCTGTTTTCTCACTCACTCCCACTCCTGGAACCCACTGCTTCCTATGGTGGTTTCAGAGGAAGACAGAAGCATGGGGCCAACCAAGTCCACATCCTTTTGCTATCGGTGTTGATAAAAAGACTATGGTTTTCATGGCTGCACGCCTCCTCTTTAGTTTTCATGTAGACTTGATCTACGCCTCAGCTGTAATTAAGCAGCAGTGATAGGAACTATTAGGTCTAAAATATTACTCATTAGGTCTAAAATCATTACTCAAGGGGTGTAACATCTCTATCTCATGAACTAATGGCTTATGAGGTCCTTTAAAAAATGGCCCCTCCATGAAACATCACACAAAAATAAAATAAGACACTTAGCTATAGTCAAAGAATGGAGACCACCAGCCTTGGTTTTGCTCAATCAGAAATTCTATCTAATTAAAAACCAATAAGCCAGCCAACAGCAAAAGCACTTTCTTAGTCAGATCAAACCTGGTCTTGCAACAAGTCAGGAGCTGGTGGAGGAGTGGACTAAATTGGATGAGGAAAGGAAAGACAGAAATGCAAGTTACTGGCATTTTATGTAAAACAGCAGAAGACTGCACCCTGCCCGTGATTAAGAGGCCAATCCGCCAT